AGAGCATCATAACTTAAAGGCATCAAAGAAGTATTCTTTTAGTGGAAGTTTGAGCAAGTAAATATACTTGGAATCAGAGTTTCTGGAAAGTTGATTTTGGAGCCAAAGTTGGTATTTGCTAATCCCATATTCTTTTTTATTTGGGATAGAAAGGCTTATATCTCATAAAAACATTATTTGCTATAACCTATTTTTCAGTGGGGAAAAGGAGCTTCTGTACTTAATTATGATGGATTATTTTATAATACTATATGTAGTCTTAGTCTCTTTTTAATATATAAACTTTGGGGGACCTTTTAGCAATAGATTAGCATAAACTCACTTGTTCTTTGCGATTTTTCTCTGTCTGCTCTTTAGCAAAGATCCTATATATTATACTTCAGAAAGGTACATTTTTATTTTTATTTTTATTCCAGAAGACATATTGGCAATAGCATGCAGTTGATTGGCATGCAGTTGATTAAATAGAGATGATCTGGCCTGTAATTCGCTAAGAAAGGAGAACATTTCCCTGGTTATTATCAAACTCAGCTTTTTTGGTCATTTACATTAAAGTTCATGTTGCTGTCCTATGCCATTTCCTGGGTGTTTTTTTTTTCTTTTCATTTTTTTCTTTCTGTTTTTAATTTTGTAGTCTCTGAAGTCTTTTGAGCAGACAGCGTAGTCTAAAAGACTTTTTAATTTCCATACCAAACATCCTAGTCTCTTTCTTTTCCTAATAATGCTCTTTTATTCCTTTAGGGAACTACTTCCCACATTCTGTGTGATTTTAATGACAGTGTCAGTCAAGGTGTCTCAAGCACCATAAGCCAGTTAAACTAGGCCAGTTGAATTCTCTCCTAGGAAGTGAAATCTGGAACATGACTAGTGATGAAATAATTATATTGCTTGATGTCGTTATGTCCAGTAAACTCTTTGGCTTTTATCTTCAGGATTAAATAGGAGTAGACATTTCAGACCAGACAGATCAACTGTCAATCACATTAATTATAAAAGTAAGTTTTTACATATAATGTTTACAAATTTTGCACACAGACCCACATTCTTACCATTCTATTGTTAAACAAGTAATAGCCATTGCACAGCAGTTTGTTAGAAGGAGGATGTCTGGAATTCATATCTAGGTAATTTTTAATGTCTTCCCTTGACAACTTTTTATGGAAAAAGTATGGAGATTTATAATGCTTACTCTGGAAAGGAAGACAGCCAAGGTGCACCTTTGAGGTTTTTAACTTAAGTACCCAAATTGGGTACATTTAGATTTCTATTACATGTGAAGAGATCCAAAATATTGTTATGATGCATTGAGAATTTATCAAATAGGAAAACTGTGATTTGGGTGGTAGTTTATATAGTTCTTGTAGTGCAAATGGAATACTACTTATTTTGGTGGCCCCATGTGTATAAATAGTGAAACCGAAAGTAATAGCGTTTTTAAATAAATGTGCTGTGAACATCTTTTGTAAATCTCTGGAGGCTAATATATGGTATATAGTAGATGCTCAGTGTTGTTTGTTGACTTCCTTTGTTTAGCAAACGTTTATGTGGCACTTACTATATTAAATTTTTATATCAATGCTATGGTTTTCCCCTATGTACAGATGAGGAAACTGAAATCATGGCAAGATTAAATAACTAGTCAAAGGTTCCACAGCTGGAGTTGTATTCATCTGGCTGACAAGTCTGTTTGATTAATCATCCTACTAGGCTGCCTCTATGGAAATAAAATGATGAATAGCATGCTTGAAACAATTATTTTAATTAACTTCAATATCTGATGCTAATAAAAATAATTGTGTTCACTTTTTTTTAACAATTATTTATTGAGTCCCTGGTACATGGTAGGCACTGTACTATGTACCTAGACTATACAGTATACACAAGAGGCAAATATTTGACTTCATAGAGTTTACATTCCAGTTAGAATTCTGTAAGGATTTTAGTATAATATTTAAAAATGCTCTTGTTTTAAGTTTTTTAAGGACTAGGACTGTATCTTTTGTCCTTGTACTCCTGACTTCCATCTCAGTTCATGGTAGATATTAAAGAATGTGCAAGTAAAAGAAAGAAAAAGTGAATGAAATACAACTTATAATGTTTATTTATTTTTGTTTTCATTTGAAACTATTTTCATAAAAATAATATACATTTATATGGAGAATATTTCATTCTGTAGAAATTTTGCAAAATATAATTATCATTAAATTTTCAAGTTTTAAATAAAGAGATATTATTTGGGAATGGGAAATAGTAACATTATTTAAAAGGGCAGAACATATGATACAACATTTCAAAGTATTTATATATAAAGTGTTTTATATGATGTGCAGTGACTAATTAAGATTTTCAGATTAATTGAGAAATCAAACCTATCTTAGTCTCTTCTCTTTAACTGAATTGTGATCACAATGATAGAGCACATAAATTAGAAAAATCTAAGTTTTCCAAACCTCATATAAAGGAATACAGACACACAATGGCATGTATCTTTCAGATAGCACATAAACTTGGAACTTCAGAAAAAATGCATTACAATCATTTCATTTATTAAAATAAGAATAACAAATAATTTTTACTTTATTGGTTTGTCCTCAGTATATGATACTTAGATATGTAGCCTTTGACCTAATAAGAATCAAAATAGAGGTGGTTCTACTTCAAGAATTTATAATAATCCCTTCACTTTAACACATGAATGTGTTCAATACTGGCAAAAGAACACGTTGCTACCAAAACTGAAACAAGATCCTTGAAACAGAACGGATGTTGCCATGGAAAAATGAAGTAACACTCGGTGCAGCTGTGATGCATTAATGAATAGGATATTTTTTTAAAAGATCATTTGTGTTTGGTGTGGCTCAGAGGGTCCCAACCAGATGGTTTCCATGAACATGATCTGACCCCCGGCTTGAGGACTTCTTACTGGCAGATTACTTCATTTTCTTTCCCTTGGATTGTCAGATCCTTACATTAATGCAAAATTTACTGCTGCAGATTTATATTCAGTAATATAAATCACTCAACATTTTACATTAAAACCACAATTTTAGACATGTAGTCTAATAGTTATTTTAAAAGTGTAAAAAGATTTATGTGATAGCTTTAGTATATATAATAGGTGTAACATCATAATG